TTTCCCTGTTTGGGAAAAAAACAGGAATGTAAAAGTTTCTACTCCACTTGCACAGTGTTTTTGTTGCTCCCCACAGAATCTAGTCTCAATTATATACCCTCTATGGCAAGCTTTTTTTTTTTTTTTTTTTTTTTTAAATTGTATTCATTTAGAACTCATTATCTGTTCAGTACGAATAAGGAATTTGTAGTCAGTTAAATTCCTACTTTGTACTGTATTAGGGGTATAACGCAATGCCACTGTGTCTCTTTAGTGCTCAGAATATTTGTGTCTGTATGTACCTGACCCTGATATTTTCTAACAAATTTAGTTGATTCTAATTTCCAGAATAAAAACAAGCCTGAGTTTCCTAAAAGCATTACAAATTCACAATTATGTATGTTCCATGTGATGCTACTATTTAATGAAGGTCTTTGTGCTGCAATGCTTTTGGCAACCGCAACCCAAATTAGTAGCCTAATTTAAAGCACTGTGGACCAGGCGGTTACTACGTAAATGCATTGTGCAGTGCCACACATTCAAATTAATGAGCATGGCCTTTATGTATGACCATTCGTGTCTACATGATGGTTAAAAACACCTGCTTGTGCTAAACACACTTCTATTCTCAACCAGATGCCCTGTGATCTATTACCTCTCTGGCAATAAATCTAAAAAACAATAGTAAACCTATACATATCTGCATTTGTAGTCATTTAGGACACATTCTATGCCGAATAATGTATTTGTATTTGGTTACATCCATATTTTATATAAGCTGAGTGAGAGTTCAGACATTTGATACTCTATTTCATATAAAGTTTAGCTTATAGACCTTGCCTCTCACCCCCCATCACCACACACACACATGTACCTTTTCCTGTCCTCACAGTGAAGTCCTTTGTGCAGGCTGTTTCTCACAACAGCTGTAAATAAATAAAGAAAAACTAACTCTAGATGCATGAGTGGAACAGATGAAGGATTGCTGATGTGTTTTTGCAAAGGCATTTTTTTTCTTACCTTTTATCTCTTTCTTTTACATGGATATTTCATTTAGCCATTCATCATACACCATGTCCTGGTTACATTAATTCAAATCACAGTAATATAGTTTTTTTTCTGATTAATCTTACAACAATTTTAGTACGCATGCGGTGAGGCAACATCAGCCACTTATTTAATTTGAAGAAAGATGGGGAAGTCAAAACCAGGAGGTAATGAATGTGTTCTCTTTTGGTGCACAGAGTGAGAGAACAGCATCAGTCTTGATAGTAGCAGAATTTGGTTACTTTAGATTTGCATGCTGGGCAAGGAGAGACAGGCCGCTGGAGTAAGTACAATAACGAAGATGGAGCACTTAGGCCTTGTTCAGGTGTGAGTGTTGCAGAATGCTTATTTATGTGTGAAACTGTGTGTGTGTGAGATAGCACACAGCATGTAAAACAGCTGGTAACGTATTAGCAACTGGGAGGTTGTTGTGTGCAAAACAGCCTGCCATTAGCTATAATGATGAACATTTAAGGTTGAGCGCACAAAAAAAGACGCACATACACTTTTTAGTATGTGTGCTAAAAAAAAAAAAGAAAAAAGAAAAGAGCACCTGGGGTTTAATCTTCCTTGATTTCTTAGTGAAGCGAAAACAGGGACCTCGATTGCAAAATGCAATTATCTGAAAAAGTGCTGAACTATGCAGAATTATTATTGAATGGCTGAAAATTATTCTTTTTTCACAGTCAATCAATGTCTCTCTCTCCTCCTTTCTCGCTTCTGCTTTTGCGTTTTAAGTGTCAGTGCCCTGCAGCACACTGGAATTGAGCTTCAACTCACTGACAACAAGCTCTGCAATAAGACAAGAAATCTTGCCTTCCAAACTGGGCTCATGAAGCCTTCATTTCCACAAAGCCCTTTTGAGCATAGCAATGTTTAATTCACAGACAGAATGCCACCATGCACCTTTAAGTTGCTAATGTCATTAGCAATTCTTTTTTTTTTCCATTATAGTTATGCACAAAAACGAAAGTGAAAATTCACTTATTTTTCTCTTTATTTCTCCAAGCCACCAAATCATAGAGTTTTATTGATTAAAAGGCATTTTAGCCTTGAGAGAATGTTCCTCTGTGTGTGACTGTCTATTATTAGGCTTTGTTATTGCTTCTTTGCTTGATTTCTTCCGGCCTGCCAAAATTCTGAACACACAATGAATTACGACTTATAATGATGGGCATAAGAAAGGTCATAATACATAATACATTCATTATTCATACTAATTGTATTCCTGAGCATCTATATTTAAAGTTCACAATTCACTTTTCTTACTGTTATTTTTGTGGCTTTGGTATAACCATGAAATGCCTACAGTTATTTGATTCATTAATTTAATTCATTCATTCATTTGCAGCAACTACTTCATCCAGGGTCACGGTGAACTCATGGTCAATTAAAACCCAGTGTCAATGTCTACTACACACACTTCAGCAAACTGGGAGGTATATTTAAATATCTATCCTCTCTCTTTCCTTTTGAAGCCTATTATGTGGATATATGTGTGTGTGTGTGTGTGTGTGTGTGTGTGTGTGTGTGTGTGTGTGTCTGTGTGTCTGTGTGTCTGTGTGTGTGTGCCTGGCATGCTTAAAGCCCCATGGAAGTCTTGTGAATCAGATGAAACTGAGCATCAAGGTGTCTGCCACAAACTTATGATAATTAGCAGGTACCTTTGCTGATGTTTTACATCATTTTGTCTGACTTGACTTAAATTGACTCAATAAAAAAGAAAGAAAGAGAGAAGAATGGAGTGAAGTAATGCCTAGGGAAAGTGAGGCTGATTAAACACCAGTCATTCTCTTTCTCTCTCTCACTCACTCTTCCTGTCTCTCTCTCTCTCTCTCTTGTGCACACACACACACACACACACACACACACACACACACTTGTATTCTCAAGGTCTCTATGCAGAAATCAGTAGCTGGAGTGCACTTTGTGCAGTGTAACTTGAACATTGTCACTGCCTCCATTGTCAAGTCTTCAGCCTCAATCAGCTCCTCCACGAAATATAGAACTGTTTAGAAGGCATCTGTCAAAAAGCATTTCAGTTATTTCCTATTACGTCAAAAGTAATGGTAGCACTTTATCATAGAGTTTAATAATACATTATTAATGGATAATTAACAAACGATAGTTATTCAGAATTTGAAAATTCAAAGTTCATGTTAACAGTACAGTTCAGTTAATGTGTAATGTGTGGATACACTATTAAATAGTCGATTAATAGTGATGAACAGATCATTAGTTTTAGTTTTTAGTTTTACAATGTTTATAGCTGATGATATAAATGTTTTGTCGTAACATTAGTTCCATTATTAAATGTGCAGTAAAACCTTTATTACTTTGTTTAAAAATAATCTCAGTTACAAAGAATCTAATAGAGACTTAAGCTCGCATTACATAAAGTCATGCATGGTTACTTATCTCCATACGTGCAAAGGCATATATGTGTTCAGTGTGTTTGGCTGCAGTCCATTAACATGTCTAACTCCCTCCAAAGGCAGCACACTTTGTCTCAGTATGGGGTGAAATTAACAACAATTTGGAATCCATTTGAAGGTCATTTAAAAAAGCTAAAGCATTGTTTTATTGTTGCAGAAACACTAACACTTACAGTGCCTTAAAAAAGTATTCAACCCCCTTAAAAGTCATCAGATTCATCTGGATTAAAAATTACACTTACACAGATTGTTCCAGGCAGTATTTTTTTTTTTATTGCAAATCAATATACTCTTTAAGGGGAATTTTTAAAAACTAAAATTAATTATTTGTTAGCAGATCTTTGAAAGACTTAATAACTGGAAAATACTGCTTGCATAAATATCCAACCTCTTTAGACTAGTACTTGGCAGAACCAACTTTTGCTGCAATGACAGTTAAGTTTGCCAGCTTTTCACAATCAACTCTCAGCTGAGTTTTGAGCGAAGGGATGGTCTAGGCAGGGTGGTATCACACAGTTTCCATTTCCTCCCAGTTGATCCAACAGTGCCCACTGCGATATCCAAACACATCAATTTCCTTAGAATGGTCTTTGGTCTTCATTTTCACAACCTTCCTTCAGATTCACAGTCTGACCAGTGGTACTTGAATTAAGGGGGTCTTTTATCCAGATTTTTGGTTGTTTTTGTTTTTGTTTTAATGATTTACAGGTAGAGGCCAATTGAAAGCCAACTGTGTCCTGAGTTAAACAATATATTTTCATCTGTGTAAACTTGGAGCTTCCACAGCACAGGGGTTGAATGCAAACAACATTTTTTTCAGTTAGTATAGTTTGCCACAAAATATTTTCTTATATAAAACTAATATTAGTTTAAATTAATATATTTTGAGCAACAATACTTTCAGCTGTTTTATTCAATTTAAGTTACAGTTTAATTTTACAGAATGCAATGTTTAGTGGTTGGACATGATGATTTATAAGTAAGCCCATCTGCTGCCATGGCCATTTTTTTTTCTTCAGCATAAAAACAGTGCCAAGAATCTCAGAAGCAATTTGTCCATTGCTTGTTGCCTTCAAAAATGACCATTTTACAGGGGCCCTTTATCACTTTAAATGAACTGACAAATGGCCGCCATAGGTGGTCCCCTGGTGTTAGGTTGTGGTGATGCCTGTCAGATCTTGGCAATGTAATGACACTGTTTAGCCAACTGCTCCTCCAGGTTAAAAAAGCCTAAGCCACTATCAAACTTTTCAAAGCTCTTCACACACTTAGCACAACAAATAGAAAGAAATATGCCATTCTGTTTGGAATTCAAACTAATTGAAAAAATGCTTCTATCAGCCAATTGAAACACAATGACAATACAAAATGTTCTTCTTTCGGTAGCTCCCATTCGGGGTCGCCGCAGCAGATCATTGGTCCACATATGATTTGGCACAGTTTTTACACCGGATGTCCTTCCTGACGCATCCCTGCCCAATTTTATCTGATCTTGAGAACAGCACTGGGAGTGCACTGTCATGTACAAGTGGCTGGACTTGGTTCCCGTTCCAGGAATCGAACCTGCGCCATGGTGGTGAAAGCACTGCTGCCTAACCACTGGCCAACAAACCAACAAAAATGTACTGTTGTCAATACATATTATATACACTGCCCTCCAAAAGTTTGGAAACACCTGAACAAAATAGGGTTTTTGGGCAATATCAGCATAAATCCTCTTTAGTTAGTGACCATTTTGCATTGACAATAAGGGACAACACTAGGCATCCGAGCAGTCAGTTTATTCAAACATTGACTTGATATATTACTCCAAGCC